TTATTAAAATTTCGGAATCATTTGGAAGATTAAGTTCGTTCATTTTCTACATTGGAACTTTTAGGAATGTCATAATAGAATCGATCAGCCGATTTTTAAAAAAATCGACCGGCTAAGCCGATTTTTTCACTATCGGCCAGGATCACTACTACATAATTAATAAAAAAGTTAATCGGTTGGAGGATAGGGGATAATCGGTTATACGTTAGTTTTCTCACTAATTTACACATCAATTTTTGTTTGAACAAATTTTACAGTTTTGGTGATTAAAAAAAGGTCCAAAACACTAAATTAACCGTCCACATATTATGTGGATTTTAGCAGGCCTCCAAAATTCAGCATCAGTCATAAAGTAACAAACGAAACGCGTCACAATAAATAAAAGTGCTTTTTTAGTACATGTAAGAGATAAAAACAAATAAAACAGCTATACTAAGCCGTAGAAAGAAAGTACTATCTCTTTTGTAAGTATGGGTTTGTCATTGAAAATGGGTTTAATAATATCAAGGGTGAATTCGGAAACAATTTTTTGAGAAAACATCCTTTAAAACTTGCCTTTGATCTATAATAAAATACATAGATAACATCATATTATACATATTTAATTATATGTCCAGAGTAAATTAAAAAGGTCATTATTCTGAAAATTCGATTTGTTAAACAATTTTGGGTCTAATCGAATCAGCCCATATCGGAATTTTGATACAGTAAATAAAAAAACCAATCTGGTCAAATTTGCAGATCATTTGACCAAGTTTGAATTTGTTTGACTTTAAATCTGGCGAAATAGCTATAACAGATTGTTTTTTTCTATTTTTATTTTATACTAAAATTTTACGGAGAATTTCCGGACGTAGATATTACTATTTGATAAATTGCCACTCTGAGTGATATTAAATTTTTAGATCATCTAAAAAATGCAAAAATGTCACGTGAAGCATGTTAAATGAAATGATAAAAAAGGGTAAATAATTTTATATATCGATATGTGTACATTTAATAGTTCAAGAGATATTACGAAATCCTCAGAATTATCAATGTATATCTGTGTATATACGTACCGATTTTTTACTTATTACGTTAATTAAATTTACAGATACCTTTTCATTAAGTTGCTATATTAATCATTCGGTTTTTTTATCGTTCCTTCCATAATCGTTGCTGAAGTGACCTATTACATCACAAGTTTTTCTATTCTTTACCGAGATTCAACCCTTTAACACATGCACTGTGTTTGTAATTAGATAGTTACACGTATAATGAACATGGACTACAAATAATTTTTACAATAGAATGTTCTCACGATAAACCTATGAGAAATAGTTTTAAGAGTTATTTCTCATAACGATAACGATAAGTTTATTCGTGAGAACATACTGGTATGAATAATCATATACTTATTTATTACAAGTATATACTTATTTACAAGTCTAAATATAGGTCCAAATGACCCGGATATCATGGTCCGACTTTTTCTCATCATGACTAATTGAATGACGCAAAAATCGTTCGATTTGGATCATCTATTCACCACAATATGATCCTAACTCATTATAATACCTCAACCATATGTAATTTCATGATCGATCCAGTGATAAGAATCGAACGATTTTTAACTATTTGATTTGAATAGCGATAGATCACGAGTTATTGTAGATACTATACTTGGGCATAATACCCACACTTATAAATTGAGCAAAAAAACTTTTTTTTTGAAAATACAAAATTCATCAAAAGAAACTCGACAAGAGATATAGATAAATCACGAAACATGCAATTAAAATGTTAAACTTATACTATAGGTCTTATTTTAAATTTCAGTTAAAATTCATAAATCGAAAAAATTTTCTAGAACAAAATTTTCCCGATTCTCATGTCATTTCTAATATTGTGAGATTATTTTATAAAATCATTAATTCTCATGAAATCAGAAATAATTTTGTCAAATCATGTAACAAATGATTACATAAACAAGAAAATTTTCCCATCCTCATTTTTTTTACATTATTGTTATTTTCCAAATCGATGTATTATTTAGTAAACTTGATTATATTATACTTTAATAATTTCCGAATTTGCCCATTTGTACATGCGCATTTTGTAAAAAAAAAAAATAATAAAAAAGGTGTGTTTATCGGACTATTTCTTTTAGAATATTATCGTTATTATTTTTCATCAACAAGAGCCATAATGCCTTACGTAGCACCTAAAACGTCAAAAAATACAACATTACCTCTAACTGTAAAACAATCTAATCCTATTATTAAGGATGCACGACCTCTCGAGCATTCCTTTACATCTTTGAAAACCGTAATTAACGTAAATAAACAAAATAAATCTCAAATAACATCGATACGTGAAACCACAATTACTTGTACTTCATTACAACAAGGCAATTTATCACATGCCAGAAACCGATTGCTTAGAAAACAAAATGGTGAAATCGTCAAATCATCTTTTAAAAAAGATGAAATAAAATCTAATTCTCCAAAACATGTACGTTTTAGTGACGATTTTAAACAAATTGATTAAAATGATGACTTTTCGGATTGAAATACAGATGGAAGTGTATAAGAAAAAGAAAGATACTTTTCATTTCAAATTTATTCTTTTTGTAAATATACTTGTATAATCATCGATGAATTTAAAACATCATGATTTTTATTTTGTAATATCTTTTTTTAAAAACTCCATTTATTTATTTATTAAAGAAATTATTCATATATATTTGGCACATTCTATTAATTTAAAAATTTATTTTTATTTAATGCGTATTAAATGTTAATTGCTAAAAAGACTTTCTGCTAAGCCACAATAGTCATGCAAATTCCAAGTGTGTCCCAAAGATGTGAATATTTTTTTTCTTTAACCATTTATATCCTAGCATTATTAATTTTGATAAAGATCATACAGTATTTACTATACCTGTTATGATTAATTCTTTGACAAATTTTAAGTGGATAGTTTTAACTATAATATTCTTTATTATATATATTAAATAAAAACTTAAAATTCTTAAAGCTATAACGATAATAATAAAATTTATACAATAAGTACAAGGGTTAAAATAATTAATGAAAAGTAAATACAGTAATAATATAAAGTTTCTTATATGCTTAATAAAATAAATAAATAAAATTCAACAAATAGGACAACACACTGGTGAAAACATTGATTTTTCATCTTTGGACAATAATGGATCATGAACAGGTTTACCAGAGTTCGAATCTATCAAAATAGAAAAAAAAAAAAAAAATTAGGACGATTTGTTCTTAATGCATCCATATACAAAACAAAGAAAACAAATCTTACAGGAATATAAATCAAGAAATGTGCCATAAGATGGCTTCTTCATTTTGTACTTTGCATCCAAATTCTCATCTGAAATTATAAAAAGATGTTTATATTTGCTTATGAAAATTGTAAATTTTATAGTAAAAAAAAAAAAAATTTTCTTTACCTTCGTTAATCGAAACATCATAATCTAAATTTTAAAAAAAATTTTCAACAAGAGATATATATATTTAGTATTATATATTGTAAACAAAAATGTAATAATTTTTAATCTTACATTGTTGTTCTTCTTTTGTAACAATATTATTAGATGGTTGAATTGTTTCTTCACATGTAGTAATTAACGATGATACTGAGTCAACAGAATTTAAAAGACTTTCTAAACTTGTATTTTCATTAAATACTATTTCCGAAGATTCTAAAAAATTTTGTTGTTGCATAATTCTTTTTTCATCAATATGCATTATAATATCTTGTGTCTCGTAGTTTGTGAAATGTATATCTTGTGGTGTTGTACCATATGATCCAACATATTTTTTATACGGTTCTGTTGGTATTATCCTATGTTCAATAATAGCGGGCTCGGAAGAATAATATAATTCAAGAACACGTCCTTGATTATTATTATAATTTGAATTTATATTACTTTGCATTACATCTAAATTGTTTTTTAATGTATTATTATGATTGCCCGAAAAATTTATATTTGAAAAAACTTGTTGCCTCTTTGTGGCGCATTCTTTTATCTCTAAGACACGTGTCTTTTCACAATCCAATCTGTCTGTAGATTCATCATGTTTCTTGTTACTTAAATTATTTGTTTCTGTTGGCAAAAATGTTATTTGGTCGAATTGATTATTTAGATTGATAATCTCTTCAACTGAATTTTCAAAATCTTGCTCTACTATTACAGGTAATTTAGTTCCATTAACTTCGATAACATTCTTAATTGTTTTTACTTTCTCCATCATACTATTTACTATCATAACGGCATTTAATTTCGTTTCATTTATAACTTCTTCAGAAGAATCATCTTTTGATTCGTTTTTGATATTCTCATCTGGATTAATTGAATCATCTTTTGATTCATCTTCAATATTATTATTCGATTCATCTTTTGATTTGTTTTCAATCTTATCATCCAGATTGATTGAATTATTACATATTCTATCGTTTGTATTCTCTAAAGAAGTTAAATCTATGACCGTTGAACTATTTAATGAATCTAAAGTTAAAGTCGAATTATTTAATGAATCTAAAGTCTGATTATCTAATGAATTTAGAATTTGATTATCTAATGAATCTAGAGTTGAAATACAAGTTTTATTCGGCTCAGAATCTTGTTTAATTTCAGATAATACTGATATTACTTCATTCTTTTCCATGGATTTTTTATCGTTATCATTTATTGTACAAGTATTATTTTCTAACCATTTTTTCATATATAATTGTTCACTATTTTTTTCTTCAAATTCATTATTATTATTATCATTGTTATTATTATTAATAACATTAATTGAAGACGAAATATTCTTAAATCCACAATCATTTGAAATAATTGACTTATCATTAATTTCAATTGAAATTTCAGATGATATTGAAGATTTTAAATCATCAGATATTTGTGAAGTTGTTGTTAATGGTGTAAATGATATTCTTTTCTTTTTAATTTGAGAATTTATATTTGAATTATTAATGTTTGTTGGACGGAATGTGGTAGAAAATGATACTTGTGTACTAGAATTTGATCGTTTACGACCATTTAATCCTGGTAATTTTGTAATTTCTGACATTGATGGTCTCAAAGAATTCGATGTTATTACAGAATTACTACGTTTCCTTATAGTCTCTGTTGTTGATGATTTTGTAATTTCAGGAGTGGACGGTCTTAAAGAATTCGATGTTATTACGGAATTACTACGTTTCCTTATAGTCTCGGTTGTTGTTGATTTTGTAATTTCAGGAGTGGACGGTCTTAAAGAATTCGATGTTATTACGGAATTACTACGTTTTCTTATAGTCTCTGTTGTTGATGATTTTGTGATTTCAGGTACCGATGGCTTTGAAGGTTCGAGAGTACTCGATTTTCCTAATATTAATTGAGTTTCAGGTAACTTTGTAATTTCTGGTGAAGGTGATCTTGAAGATGATCTTGAAGATGGTCTTGAAGATTGTCTTGAAGATGGTCTTGAAGATTGTCTTGAAGATGGTCCTGAAGATTTGGTAGATAAAACAGATACACTTCGCTTTCTAATGACTTCTGTTGTTGATGGAATTTGTTGAGATGATTGTTTTGATTTAATAATAAGATTTGAAGATTCATTTTGTTGTGTAGAACGATTTTGTTTAGCTCTAACTTCAGGTACTGCAGGTCGGGAATTCGTAACTGACATAAAAGAAGTAGGTCTTTTCGTAGTTTTGGTGAGTTCTGGTGAAGCAGGTCTTGAATTCGTAACTGACATAAAAGAAGTAGGTCTTTTCGTAGTTTTGGTGAGGTCTGGTGAAACAGGTCTTGAATTCGTAACTGACATAAAAGAAGTAGGTCTTTTCATAGTTTTGGTGAGTTCTGGTGAAGCAGGTCTTGAATTCGTATTTGATACCATTGATGTTGGCCTTTTAGCGGTTTTTGTGAGTTCAGGAGATGTAGAACGTGAAGATGTTCGTTTTGTAATATCTGGTGTCGAAGTGATTGTGGACCGTCTTGTAAGCTCTGGCGTAGGACGTTGATTTATTTTGGAAAGTGATTGTTTTTTTGTAAGTTCCGGTGTAGTTGGTCGTGAAGGATGTTGATTTATTTTGGAAAGAGGTTGTTTTTTTGAAAGTTCCGGTGTAGTTGGTCGTGAAGGATTTAGATTTATTTTTGAAGGCAATTTCTTAACAATATCTGGTGTTGATGGTCGCGAAGAAAAATTCGAAGACCGTTTACCATTAATCTCAGATGTTTCCGAACGTGCAGCTGAAGACATACGACGTTTACTAACGTCAACAAGATTTTTAGTTTCAGCATTCGAAGCAGCAGATGAAAGTCCTTTTTTAGTGTCGGTAGTTTGAACTCGTTTAACTGAACCAGAATTATTTTTTAATTCATCTACTTTCGATAACATCTTTGAAGGTTTATCAATGGAAGGTTTGCCAGTCATAATTTTTTTATTTTTATTAGATTCATTTGAACCACTTTGTTTAGTCAATCCTTTTGGTTCGACATCAGAAGTTATAACATCAGGATTTGTTTCTAATCGTTTGTTAGTATTTAATATTGATGTAATATTTTTATTTTTAGTATCCGTATCATTTTTTTTAATATCTTTTGATGTTACAATTGACTTTATGGTTTTTTTGATACGTTCTGAAGGATTTTTCTTGTTTGATGCAGTCGCCGAAGATTTTTTGTTTAACATTTTTTTTATGCGCGAATTAATATCTGTACACTTTGTTTATAAATTTATATACCGTAAAAAAAAATATATAATGGTAAATCATATGACATAAATGGTAATCGTAAAAAAATTATTATTGTTTAAAAAAAAAAAAAAAAATCTATGCAAGCAGCATAAAAAACTCGTTTTTATATCTTGGGGGGATCGTTTTATTCATTACGCCTGATACGTATTATCATTATCAACTGCACTGATGAATCACATGATCATAGTTGCTTTTTCGAAACAAAGGAGAAATAAAATTATATACATAAAATTTAATGATCCATCGTGTCATTTTTTACGCCAATTCATAAGTTAAGGTAACCCTATATAATAGAAAGTTGGTCAGATTGATTAACCACTTGCATTTACCTTTTTTATGTCAATCCTTCCATCACGTTAATTGATAAGCAATGTTGGATCCTTAAAGTGGTTTTTTTTATGTGTGGAGAATGGTGGAAGGCTGGGCTGTTTAGTAATTATGCATATTTTTAAATAGTAATGAAATACTATATATACAGTAGTTAAATATATAGTTTAAATATTGATTCACTAATGTTAAAAAAAAAAAAAAAAAGCTTGACTAATACGCGGTTATTGAATATTTTATACCTTAATTAGTATATATGTATAACGGCTCGAGCGAATTCGAATGCCATTTAACAAGCATTGCATTAAGGAACGAATCAAAAGAAATAGTTTGTTTTCCGTACCAAATCCATATTTTGATGATAGATTATCAAGATCTTTATCGGAATTATGCGTGATTGTTAGGCTGATGTAATTTTAGACTTTTAATAGCAAATCAAAAATTATAAATATCTAAAAAAAGAAAGTAAAATCGCCAAAACTACACAAATGATCTCAATGTTTCGAGTTTGTTCGTTGTTCTTTTGCATTTTAATATAAATATTATCCCACTTATAAAATTTATATATATATATATAACTATTCTTTTTGTATTATGATAATAACAAAATTTTTAGGTGCTACGCGTTTATGATCATCATATTTTACCTCTTACATTACTATGATATTGTCAGTCAATGTATAATTATATCAAAATATGTTATTTGGCGCGTGAAAAGGATATCAAAGAAGTGGGTTTTAGGGGTACATTTCAAACTAAACAATCAAGGTTTCATTTTTTCACTTCTTATGCATGCAATGATAATGCATGTTGAAGGTCTAATAGTCAAATATTTTGGATGGCGATTTTTTATATTAAATGCATCTGATTTTAGTAGTTTTTGTTAAACAAAGCTTCGATTTCGAGCCATGATAAATTGACGTGGCACAGAAAATCAGAACAATTATCATGTGACATTCCGGATTAAAAAAAACATTTTATGTATTTTAGTTATAAACTTGCTTTTTAAGTTATTACTGCATGCTAAGTTATCGTTATCGTTATGCAAACCACAATTAAGTATACAATATTAGGCGGACGATGTAAAATACGTACTGTACGTACATACATATGTAACTGGAAATTTTTTCATCGGAGTTAATGTCACACCCAAGTGCAGATACGCAGCACATGGTGTGACATAAACTCGATGGAAAATTTCTGTTACACTGTTAGCTGTATGTATGACGTACTGTACGTACGTACAGTAGTTATGCTACTTATACTACCCAATTTTTTATCATTATCTTATACTTTTTTATGAGAGTACCCAGCCATTTTCATGCATGTTATTGAGTCACCTACGTAATATATCTCACCTCCTATTGGGGGTCGGAGGTTATATCTCAGCATTCTAGTGAATAATCAGTTATCATCAACATGACCAATAACTGAAGATCCATCAGAAAGCACTAATAAGTATTTGTTCTTGCTGATATATATTATATATATATTATTAATATTGATATATATATCGATTTACGTAAGTACGTGGGATTCCAAAGAGACCCGAAGCTAATATGTTAATGTAAACCTTTTACATTAGGGCAGTGACATTTATTACGTAATATTATTTTACTATGAGGCTACCCACGTCATACGTATACGTTTATAATTAATCAATTTTATAGTTAAATATCATATTAAGATTTCTTTAAACCCCTTCCCCCCTAAGATATTACGCAATAAATGTCACTGCCCTTATTAACTTTGATCTAAATTTTATGCTAAGCTTTTATTATGACCGAGAAATCGTTGTAATAAATTATTTAACAATCCATTATTGTTTCTAGAATATTCAACTTTACAATTGTATTGGGCAGCCATTATTGGACTTCAAAATTTTATGGCATGGGCTTTATCTTATCAAGAACGGTACATAAATCGATTTTTTTTTTCTAACCTATCAAGTTATGCCATGGGCTTTATCTTTATAAAGAACGGTACATAAAATTGATTTTTTTTTTTCCAACCTATCAAGAACAGTAATGACGATCTAATCAGGAATGGTATTTTTATTTTAATTATAACGAATTCATAGAATTGGTATAAAAAATTTTTCAAATTGTCGAAAAAAATTTCAAAACGTTATTAGGGATCATCGATTTCTGCAGTCAGATGACACATTTTTTCGCCATGGCTAGGGTACTAACGGTAATGCTAGGAATTTCCTCGTGGGGTTTAGCGTATGGATTCCGATCCACAAAGCGATGATTGACCTAAGGATCAGATGATTATAATACAGTACGATTTTAGACAAAGTTATGAAACATCAATTGTATCACCAAAAGTCATGTACACTAGCAAAATGATTAGTACAAAAATAATTTCAAATGCGATTAAAAGGTATTTATTTTGTTCATTTTATTTAAGATCATAAGTATTATTTATTATTTTAGATATGTTACAGAGTATTTTACAAGTAAAATTTATTAGTTAAATAAAGTTCTAGATCTTAAAATATATATTGTAATTTATACAAGTTTAATACAGAGAGTAATTTATTTTAATATAATTTATAAATTATAATCTAAAGTATAACTTTAGAAGTAATTTATTTAATTACTTTTTTTCTTTTTTTTCCTTTAATGAGAGGATTTTACTGCTTATATTTTATTCAATTTAAAACTAATGGTATAATATAAACATACTACAAAATATTTAAGTAAAATATAATATGCTAGAATATCTTTATATCATATCTTTGTTAACTATGCTAGTCTAATAAAGTTTTCTAAATTGTTCTAACACATTGAATTTACTACTTATGATTTACTCGAATATCTTCAGAAATCTTAAGTACAATTGACTTATTAACAATTTACTTCTTAAAAATCTTCATATATATATACAAAGCAAATTCAAATCTTTAATAATTTGTTAACAATCTAGTTAAAAACCTCTCATTTATCTTTTATTCTGTGTCAATCTAATCCAAGATAAGTAAGCAATGAAAAAGAAAATAAAAAATATATATATAATAAAAGATACAAGGTTATATATATAATAAAGTTGAAAAGAGAAAACTTGCTAATAAGTAAAAACTTTAAAACAATATACAAATAAGAAAAAAAACAAAATAGAGTTCTTTTACTAAAATAAAAGACTAGTTAAAAATTATATATATATAATATTTAAGTTAGTTTTTAAATTCTTAAAGAAGTAGAATACTATCTTATAGAGAAACTATTTTCAATATAGATTTCTTATGATATGTATTAGACTTAGCATATATTTGTTATTTGTATATAATATAGAAAACAACAAGCCAATATTCAATTATATTTGTTAATATATATTGCAAATCTTTTGGAGAAAATAAGTCAAATCTCTCAAAAAATACTAAATAATTTAGAAAAAAAATCTAAAAAATAGAGTTAGAAGAAACTACTTCTAAAAGAGTAAGATTTTACTACTTGTTTTCTTATTAGATAGTATAAATATATATTATAACTAGCTATTTCTATGCTAGCAAACTACTAATAAGTATTACTTAAAATAACAAAGATATTTAACAGATTTTTTTGCTTTTGCTACTACTTTTTTGATAATACTCAAAAATTATATTTAGATAATATAGCTAAAAAAAGTTTGTAAGGAAGATATTCATCTACAATATATTATAGAAGACTTAGAAAAGAATATTATTATCTGTATAATTGAAAAGTATTTTTACAAGTCATATTTTTATTTTAGAAAAAAGTAGTCAAAAGATTGATAAAAAAAGTTGATAACTTTATTTGTAATTATTTACTTTTTTTTTTTTTTTTTAAGCAAAGCCAAGGTGAGGCCATGTTTCTATCTTTATTAATAGTTTAATTAAAAATTTATAAAAGAAATTTTTGTATATTATGATACTATAAAGTATAATTTTAGACTATATAGCAAGATTTGAAACTCAGTCTAATTTATCTGTGACTGAAACCTACTAGAGTAGTTATAACTCACCTAAATTTGAATATTAATTATATTATTAATTAGAATACTATATTTAATTTATTCAATAGACCAAATATAAAGTTTATAGTATGCTAGTTTTTCTAAAAGACAAAAAGAGTTTTTATGTTGTTTTTCAGTATATTTATATATGCAGCTAATTTTACTTAAGCTAGAGCTATAGTATGTTAGAAATAAACTTAGTTGTATAATATTAGTTCAAAGATTTTGTTTATAAAGTTTAATATTATTTGTTTGTTTCTATTTAGAGAGTTTAGTACAGTGAGATTTTCATAATTGCTTATATACTAATTTAGATATTTTTATGAATAGTAAAGTTATAAGTTGTTGAGCTAATTTATGAGATTCTGTATATAGATATAGTAGTTGTAAAGGTCATTTGGTATAAGATCTATAATAGATTAGTAAAATAAAATATTGTTAGAGAAAAGCTGTAATAATTGTAAAGAGTAGTAATTAATAAAAAAGTTTTAGAAATATGAAAGTTGTAATAGTGAAATATCAAAATTTTCTAATATAAGGTTGGATTGTATGTTGGATTTAATTATATCAAAGATTAATTGTGAATTTAGACAAAATAGCTAGTATATATTATCATTTGTTTGGTTACAGA